ACTTAAAAATCAAGATTAAGGTAAAACAATTGTTTTTGTTAAATTTAGAAATAATTCTTGTTAAATCTTAAAGAATCGTAGGGATCAATCATTTCAATGTTCATGTTCATAATGTTTGAATTATTATCTCATTATATTATCTGAAATGCCATGATATACAGTTAAAGGATTAGATAATTTGTTAGATAAGATATTAGATGAAATAAAATTTACTTCTCAAGAACTTAATAGAATGTAAAAAAAAAAAAAAAATAGAACACGGTTAAACCATAAGCACATCAATTGAAGAATTTGATAAAAAAATAATAAGATATGTTGAAAATTACCCCAACATACTACAACTTAGAATGGAATTATATATTAAAATCCAAGAGAGAAGAAATACTAACATTTAATTATTTATGATGTTTAAACTAATATTTTTATATGAATTTATTAGATCAAAAAATGAATTTGTTTAAATATAAGAGACTAATCTCTAAAAATATACATAAGAAAAGGATATATCTTGAAATAAATAAAAATCTATATCATTAAGGGTAATATAGACATTTCAATCAATTTTATAAAAAGCCTAATCAACCAGGCCAATTATAAAAATACCCCTTCTATGGTCTCGATGTTTACCTTTTCCATTAGGATGAAATTACTAAATTTAGTTAATTAGGAAAAACATAATTCTAAAATCAAAATTTAATATGTGGGTAGTTGGTAAGCTTTAGTAGAGACACGTGCAATGAATTCTTGCAGAAGTGGGTGAAATTCTCAGTCACTGAGTACTAATATTTATACACTGATAGTCATTCCATTCTCATCTTACACTGCTAAATACAATCTTGAGTTTCATTTGATTCATCGAATTTCAAATACTATATTTGAGAGAAAACGAGATTAGATGGCGGCGTCAGCAGCACTTACAACAGTCATTAACAAATCAGTAGAGATAGCTGCCAAACCATTTGGCGAAATAGTTTCACGCTCGTATAGATTGAAGGAGAACATGGAATGGATTGAACGACAAATGAGACACTTCAAATCGTGTCTCAAAGATGCAGAATTGAAACAAGGAAACCACGAAGTAAAAAACTTGATAAATGATATGAGAGATCTTGCTCTGGACATCGAGGATATTTTGGACGATTACCTCCAAGAGATTGAATCGCACGAGAAAAAGGGGCTATTTCAATTTGTTAAGTTTGCTGCTTGTATATTATGTTATGTTTGCGCTGCCAGTGACTTTGTCCAGGAAATTGAAAAAATCAAGAGCCGGGCCCAAGAAATTGAAGATACTAGACAAAGATGTCGTATTAATCTTGATACGGATGGAGGTAATGTTAATTTTATTCATTTAAGTTTATTTTAAATTCTATGTTTTTATTTATTTTATTTTTATTTTTTTGGCAAAGAAACATAAATATGAAAAATCAAGATCTCTAAATTGCACTTTTATTTTGATAGTCTTCCATGGTCTTTTATAGGGGGAAAGAGAGAGAGGTGGCTACTTTTCTTTGTCCAAATAATTATGTCTTTTTAAGTTATGATTATTAAACCAAAATTTCTTATACATATGAATCACATAAAATGAAACAGGTAATGCAGATATGGACGTATGGAATCAAAGAAAAAAATTCTTAGTTGCCCCGGAGTCAATATTTGTCGGCCGTAAAGATACATTGAAGGAACTCAAGGAAAAATTGAGGAGCTCAAACTTGGATTGTAAAATGATATGTATTGTAGGGGATGCAGGTGCGGGCAAGACCACCGTTGGTAAAAAAATATATAAAGAAATGCAAAATGATTTTACTTCTTCTGCCTTGGTCTATGTCTCAAATGAGCCTAGAGTCCAAGAGCTTCTACTTGAAATAGCAAAGCAAG